GTTACAGTTTGGTGCGCGCAAGGGGGGAGGAAATTCCACGTGCCTATGAGTGAAACTTAGACGTTCCTGAGAGCTATTTTTGAATTTGGAATTTTACAAATGAACAGAAAATATCTTCCAACTTCTGTTCCGTCTAGTTTCCGAGCTAAAAATTCCTCATGTGAAATTCCACGTATCCGCACCTGAGACAAGCGTAAAAAAAACTGAATCTGAAGATCCAAAGTTGTACATTCAGAGGACGCATCATAATAAATTTTCGGTTCTCCATCTTGCCGATCCCCGAGGTAGAAAACTTCGCGCCAAAATTCCCACATTTCCACACATGAGACTTAGGCATAGATGGAAGCTGATTTTAAATTTTTGGGATTGCAAATGGGCTTGAAATATTGCCTTAAAATTTTCGCTTTCTAACTTTTCTGGTTCCCACGTTAATTTCTGCGCCAAAACTTTCAAGTGTCCGTATGTGGGGTCTATGCTTGCGTGAAGGCTGAACTTAAATTTGCGGGGTCGCATGTGGACGGGGAGATTTCCCAAAATTTGATCTTCTTTGTTTTAACAGTCCCCGAATTAAGAACGCGGGGCAGAACGCGGGACAAAACGCGCGCACACACACGCACACACATACACAGAGGGTCATGACAATATGAGTTTAATGCAGCTGTTTCACAGCACGAAACCCATAAAAAACCATTAGTTCCCGATTCACAAACATTAGCACCCATGCATAGAATAGCACTCGGTTCATTTTTGAGCCACAGTGACGCAGCACAATCTAACTGCTCCTATCTTACCGTGCTCACCAGGCCGTTATATTCATGCGTAAAAAAAAACCGACCTCTACGACTGTACCTCCAAAACAAAGGAGTGCCTCAGTACTCTTTGTTACTATCACTTTGCCCAGATGAAACGATCAACTGTGCCATTAAATTAAGAGTAACTGGGTAGTGAGACACTACAGGCAATTTTTTTCGAATAAAAGACAGTAGCTCACCTTCCAGCCTACCGCTCACCATGTTGTAAACCAGGCGTGTATCAGATTGTTCGATCATGTACTTTTTGCACATGCAGTTACAAAATTTTCAAGTTTTCGAACATGAGATGAGAAATTGCATGTTTATTTTAGACATACCTACACGTGATTGGGGACCAGTTTCTTCAGCTCTCCGCATAGTTTGGTTTCAGACTTGCAGAACTGTTAACGTCAACATTCCGCGTGTTCATAAGTAAGATGTAAGAAGGCCGTGAAAATTGTCTCCACGTGCACCTGCCCAAACATGGTCATGAACAATACGCAGAAAATTTCCTAAGGTGCTTTGCCTGGGAGGTTACAAGACTGTCGTACCAAACTGTACGTGTGCGTGTGAGAGATCTACGGGGAACGTGAAATATGTTTCACGAAAACCTGCCCAAGCATGGTCGCACACCATGCTCAGGAAATTACAGTACTTTAACTGCACTGGCTGCGGAATTACAAAATTATCATGTCGAACTGTAGGGGTCCATAAGTTGGCACAGATGGAAATGGTTGTTTTCATGTACATCTATACAAACACAGTTGTGGGCCGCACTCAGGAAATTTCAGCACTCCAGGTACCTAGTCGCAGAATTATGGAACTGCCACTTCAAAACGTTTATGCCTGCACATCAGACCTAGAGGAAGGTGGAAGTTGTTTGTACTGATCTTATATAAATTTAGTCACGGATTATATTTCAGAGAACTTAAGCTCTACAGCTGTGGTCATGAATTATAAAACTGCCAGTGTCATGTCCCACGTGTCCGCAAGCGAGATGTATGGAGAAGTGAAAGTTCAATTTAAGTTTACGGGCCTGTGCATGGACCACGAATATCTAAGCAAAACTACAGCTTTTTACAATTCTTTACTAAGTCTACTTCCCGCATTAGCATGGTGCCAACATGGATTTTGATGCTTATACAAGTGAGGTCTAGGCGTGCGTGAACGCTAAATTTAAATTCCCTGGATTGCACATGGAGAGGGTATATCACTGTAGCTCCAACATTTTAGCTTGTTAAGTTCCCGAAATCGTTTTCCCGCCAAAAAATTTCTTATGTGTCCACATTTGCGAATTAAGAAGAAGTAAATGTCCATTTTATGTCTTGGAACCCACGTAGAGAGGTAGACTAAGTTGTCAAAATTCTAGCTTTCGTAAATCCAGAAATCGAACTTTGTGGGAACATATAAGCACGCACGCATACATACATACATGCATACATACATACATGCATACATACATACATACATACATACATACATACATACATACATACACACATACCCTCTAGAAAATGCGTCTTATGCATTGCATAAATG